TTAGGGTTGCATGTACACTTAGGAGTGTTAGAATGCTCAAAACCCAACACTTGGTGCCTTAGACCCATTGGTACCGTGAGGAAACTCACCTATCAAGAATGTTGAACTGATAAGATATGATAGGTCCCAACGCGCAACTCCAACTCAACTACCTACAATCACCATGTGACTAGCTTTGTCAAAAATCTCAAAATACCAACAATACCCTCAAAGTCAAACTTGGTCAACCCTGGTCAAAGCCAAAGTCAACAGTCCATGTTGACCTCAACTCGTCGAGTACGTCTAGCAACTCATCGAGTTCCTTCAGAGTCCATAAAACCGAAAACTCGAGACCTAAAACTCTAGTCAAGAGACTAAAAACTCTAATCATTTCACCTAGATCACTCAGAATCCCAAAAACAGGTAAACCTTGCCCAACTCGTCGAGTTGGCTAAGCAACTCGTCAAGTTACTTCAGCCCCTTTTCATGTTCAGTACTTTCCAGTTGGATCCAAAGCTCCAAACTACAGATCCAACCCCCTATGGTGTAGTTACCACGTAAAGTTGCAAACTTTACGTGCATGCAAGGCCTCAAAAGGCTAAAACACTAAAACTAAGTCTAAGAAAAATTTTAGGTCATAGAGAATGGCCAAAGCTTGATATTGTATCGATTACTTTATGAATATGGGGCCTAGAGGAGTCTATTTCTAGTTTTTTGATAAACGTTTATGCCAAGATCTATGGCACCATCGTTTGGGTCACACAGGATCTTCATTATTGCGTGTTTTAAATAAACAAAAGTCTATTTCTATTTCCAAGTTTTCTGATAAACATTTATGTCAGTCTTGCGTGTTTGGCAAACATATTAAACTTCCCTTTTATGATTCAATGTCTTCTACTTCTTTACCTTTTGATATATTGCATAGTGATTTATAGACCTCCCTGATTCAAAGTTTGGGAGGTCACCGTTATTATATCCTATTTTTAGACGATTACAATAACTATTTGTGGACTTTTCCATTAACCAATAAATCACATGTATTCTCCATCTTTCTTAACCTTCATAAGCTCATACAAACACAATTTGAACGATATATAAAATCAATTCAATGTGATAATGGAATGGAATATAATAATCATTCGTTTCATAATTTTTGCATTCAACATGGAATGGACTTTCGATTCTCTTGCCCACACACTTCTTCTCAAAACGGAAAGGCCTAACGAAAAATAAGATCAATTAACAAAATTGTTCGTACATTACTCACCCATGCTTCCTTATCACCCACCTTTTGGCATCATGCTTTACAAATGGCCACCTACCTCCTCAGCATTCTTCCTTCCAAAACGAAAAATAACACCACACCCACCTTTATCCTCTGTCACAAACACCCATCTTATACATATCTTCGTACTTTTGGGTGTCTCTGCTATCCTCTTATCCCATCTACTACCATTCACAAACTTGATAATTGCTCCTCGCCGTGTGTCTTCCTTGGATACCCCTCAAATCATAGGGGGTACAAGTGCTACGAACTATCCACCTGTAAAATCTTTATCTCTCGTCACATTGTGTTTGATGAAACTCAGTTCCCATTTGCCAAAACAAACACTTCACCTTCCTCCTATCAGTTTCTTCATAGAAATCTCTGAAAATTAGGGTTTTCCTTTACAGTGTCTACTCGTTGAGTTGGGACCTCCCAACTCATTGAGTAGACCGTGAGTCTCGCGTCCAAAACGATCTCTACTCGACGACTTGGAGTTCCCCAACTCGTCGAGTTCAAGTCCAAAACCCTAAAATCTTGAAAAATAAATGATACCTGAAACGAGCGTTACACAATATTTGTCTAAAAACACACACAATATCAGACAAATCACAACACAAGAAGAGAAGAATGCCCTTATACATTGAAGTATTACAGATGGACTCCAAGCCTCATATTCACCGAGAAAAGAAGAGGTTAAGCAACGTAGGTGTTTTTTTTTTTGAAGCAAAAATTCATGAAGTCTGCGAACCACCTCTGCGGTAGAAGAGATGGATCAAACAACTGCAAGTTAACAAAAATTCAACAAGAAATTATCATTATTCAGTATTAAAAAAAAAAGAATTCAACAAGAATAAACAAAAAAAACAAAAAAAAAAAAAAAAAAACGAAAAAAAGGTAAAATAAGATTTCAGCAACATATAATCAAGATTTCAGCAAGAAAAAAAAAGAGGTTGGAAGTGACAATACAAGTGTTACGCCAAACAGAACACGTACAAATGTTTTTTAATTCAAAGACTTCTAAAAAACAAACACCTGCGAGATTAAAAGTGTTGCGCGTGTGCTGCACCGCGCAACCATAAAAGGTCTGAAGAGTTTTTTTTACAAAAAACAAACAACATCGTAGTCTTTGTAACCAACGACTTATAAGATTCCAATCTTCGTGACCTTCAAGTTATGAGTGTCACTTAGACTATGCTCGAAGGTTCCATTCTTTGTGAATCATGATAGAAGAGATGAGGTTCATTGACTTGACAATGTGTTCTTTGGATCTCTGACGGGAAGAAATAGACTTAGTATCGAAGGGGGTGAAATAGACCCAATACTAGTTGAAAGATACCGAAGGCGATAAAATAGACCTAGTACTGGTTGAAAGATACTGAAGGGGGTGAAATAGACCCAATACCGGTTAAAAGATACCGAAGGAGATGAAATAGACCCAGTTATATTTTGACTATTATGTATGGTATGAGGTATTTTAGGGAACTCGCTAAGCTTTGTGCTTATGGTTTTTTGTTTTAAATATTTTTAGGTACTTCTAGTTTTAAAAGATGAGTCGGCTTGATCGCTACATCCCCTGAAGATTTATTCCGCAATGATTATTTATGTTTTTACTCTGATGTTTGAGAATACTTTTACTCCAGTCGTCTTTTGAGATAATGCATGAACGGTTTTGACTTATTTAAAATAAAAAATTTACTCGTTATTTTTGGAATATTACAATGAACTCTCCCTTTTCCAAATGACAATGAGCAAAGTCACTAATATGGGTCATGGACACACAGGGCTTTCATATCATGTTATGCATATCACGTTGTTGATATATGTGAAACAGTCTATACAACTTATAGTTGATTCTTATAGACATTACTAGGCAGAAAATGGTTGTACAATAATGGGTGATCGGTGGCGGGATACAAGACAAAGACCCCTTATCAAATTTATGGTGTATTGTGCGAAAAGGATTTCCTTAATCAAATCAGTCGATGCATCGGATATTGAGAGTAATGCCTAAACATTATGCAACTTATTTAGTAAGATTGTTGAGATTATTGGTCTGTAGACTGCAGACTTTTTGTCTCTGGAAAAACAAACACCACCTAAATCTTGTGAGAATATAAGCAAACATGTTAATCATTAGATAAAAAATAAGGAATCAAGTTAATAGTTGCATAATTTGTCGGCCATTAGATAAAAAAAATCATCGAAATCCTTGTTTTTTTAAACATTTCGTATACGTCTTACACATGTCATCCTCCATTTTGAGGTCATATTTGAACCCACATTGTGCTTCTACTTAACAAGCATCATATACATGACTTTTTGTCAAACTCTTTTCATTTTATGCTCTTTTGCTTTTGGCTCTTCTATGGGGCGTTATTGATATACACCTTTAGCTTGTACTAAGGCATGATACTAGTCTCATCGGTTATATATTTATTCAAATAAAACAAAAATGGAATGTATTATGGATCCCATTCGGTTCCATTGGCAACTCCAGTTAGACCCAACTCATTCTAATACTCATAATGATTCTATAAACTCGAGGCTGGATTTTCGTTTTTTTCAAATAAGATTGATCCCTTCTACGGAGAAATCTTAATTAACTACCATCGTGTCTCTCACCTTGAACTACCGGCGTCACATTTTTTTTTCTTGTTTATAACTTCCTTAGCGATCCTCAACCGCTTGTAACCATTCACGGATGGTTTTCATTTTATCTATTGTCTCTTGTAGAATCCATAGTCTAAAATGACATTCATTTATCAGTTTAATTATAAAAATATAACCAAAGAACTAGAAGTTTAGATAAATCCAAATATATCAAAAACAAAACATTATATGCATTAGCTTTTTTTTTAAAACGACAAATATTTTAAATATTTCCTCTGCCTTAGATTGAACCTAATACCGCCTAATTAGTTGTTATATTAGGAACCGTTATTCAAATGGGTTAGCATTAGTTAATCAAACTAACAAAATCCCCAAGCCTTCGGATCCTCAGATCACTTAAAAACGAATTTGAACCAGTGACAAATATAATTTCTGGTTCTTTGCCAAATAGTGAAGTGAAAAAAAAAAAAAAACAAAAGAATCCTAAAAATCATAATCAATCTTATTAAAATCCTACGGTGTATGATAATTTATAGATAGACCAATTTGGATTGTATATTTTTATTTTGTCAAATGTGTAATTTCTAAAGAACGTCTAAAATAAGAATTTTCCCATTGTTTTCTTTTGACACAAAATTACGAGACTGATAGTCCAAAATCCAAATATGATTAAAATCGGTTTGACCAATAATGGGTGTTTGTAAAAAAAAATTGAAAACTACTTATCATCTTAAATCTTATGTGCTAGTTAACATCTAACTGAGTATGTCGATGCTTTTGAGTCTTTGAGACGTTTTAACCAGGGCAAAGTATTAATTTATTTTAGATTTTATATTGAACCTTGTCAAATGTCAATAGCTACCGGTTCAACCGGCTATTTGATAAACCCGGAAGGGTCAATCCTCTCTTAACTATGTCACGTTTCAACCGGTTCGACCCAAGTTTTAAAACATTGCCTATAGCTCTATAGACTCCCAATGGTTTTGTGGTTTTTAAAACCTATCATGAAGAAGAAGAAAAAAGCCACATAGGTAATCGTACCAAATAAATATAACATTCATGATTTATTATATGATTAAATATATGTTTGTAACACATACCATAAGTTAAAAGAGGAAATAGTTAAATAAAAAATCCAACCCAATCAGAGATGATCGTTACACCATATGAGTTTGAAATGCATGTAGACATCGGAAGCCGAGCCATCTAGAAAGCTTCTGTGGGAATTCGTTAGGGTTTTCCATGTTTGATAAGGAGATTCTCTTATTTGAACATGTTTCAGGTAATGAGGCCAATACAGTGGGGTTGTGGTCGTCTTCTTCTCCAAGACCTCCCTCAGCATTAGCCTGCAAAAGTGATTGCTACGGCTGAATTGCATGTCTGGCTGTGCAAATACGAGCTTGGGATGGCAAATCTCCAAGATTGCATCAAAAAATGGGGATCGTTCCCACAGGCATTCATCCTTCCACGTTTCAAACGACAGTTTTTGCACATTTGTAGCAGGAGGAGACAGGAGCCTTGTTCTTAGCTCATCCATGTCGATGTCTAACAGCGGCTTAGAGTTGAAAGTTGTTATACGAATTTCAGCCTCGTGTGATAACGCAAGTGCTTCTCTCATCTTAAGAAAAAAATAAGCATCGACAGCAAGGTGGAGTCTGAGTGAAATATTGATTTGCTCGAGAGTAGAGGAGACCTGAATGCAGAGCTTAGGCAAAGCACTGCCATCAAACCGGAAAAAGATTAATTTTGGAGCATGTACTTGTATGTCCATCAGCCTGCATGGGCACAACTGCAAGGTCAATCTCTTGATCGAAGCAGATGTGTAATGGAAGCTTTTCAACATCCAAGATTTCATATCATCAATGGTCAAACTCTCGAGAAAAGGAAACCCCGATTTGACAACGCCACCAAACATTAACTGTGTCACGCTGCTTCCTAATGATATTGAATGGAATTTGAATGCAAAATGTAGATCGCAGCTAAACACACGGAGATTTGGGACATCACTGATTTCCAAAGCGGTGGTACTACTACCGTTATTAGTATTACCAAAAGAAAGTCTTAATTGGTAAAGACGAGCAAGGTAGGGATGGTTGACCAAGCATGTAGCCATGACTTGGATAACAAGCTGGTGTGGGCCGCTTCTTTTACAGCCAACCGTGATTGTATATGCTGAAGCAATTTAGGAACATCTTCTACTTCTCGTCTCATCCCTTCAAACCCAAAAAAACACATCATCAAATTTCCACAAACACCAAAACCAAAACCAACCATGCCTTTAGAGTATACATATGTATATTCAACTTCAAACCAAACCAAAAATAGAAGATTTGCATATCCATCCTAGTTTACCTACTGACAAACAGATTTAGGGAAGCCAAAGAAATCACAAACAGATCTAAGGCTTTCTAGCACTTAACCAAAAACATAACTTCTCATCATGTTTGGCTGCACAATTACTCAAATACGGTGACAAACCAACTAAAACCTTTTATATGCTTTTGAAGTAAACCCCACAGTCGTAAAACAGATTACTTCGTTTAACCATGAAGTAAACCCCACAGTCATTCCTCATATCTCCCTACCAAAGAGCCTTAAATCCTACCCAAAACAACAAAAAGTTTGAAATTTTCACTCGATAACCAAGATACACAAACATCGATTGATACACAGAATTCCAAACTTGTAAGAAAAACTCAATCTTGTAATTTCGAGTTTAGTGTTGTAGTTTATGCTTCCAACTATTCATATAGAGGGAGGATTTACACGCATCAAAGAGCAAACAACAAGATGCAAAACACAAATCGGACGATTTACCTGATAACAAAAATCGAGAGATAGGCGGCAGCAGCAGGCAGTTCGTCGAGGGTGAGAGCAACCACTGTAGTTTATGCGTCCAATTTCCGAATGAACGATTCGATTTCTATATATACCTTGCTGATTTTATTTTCTACGGTTCATCGTTTTAAAAAAAAAAAAAAATGATATCTGTATTATATTATAATACTAGTCTGCGATTTTATTAAAAATAAAATTTTAATATCAATATTTCTAACAAGTAATATTTTTATATAAGAAAATATAATATTTTGAAACATTTATAAAAGAAATCAAAATTCTTTGCAGCATTTATGAGATATTATTATAAAATTAATTGAATGATTCTCTTTCATTATAAAATTTTATGGAATTTTATTTTTAAAAAAATACAAATTTATAAAAAAATAACAAGTGAAAAATAAAAATTATAAAACTCTCATAAAATGACATTTATCAAAATGAAGGATAAGAAAACATGTAAGAAAAAACATTCATTTATTATAGTAGATATTTTTATTATTTCAGGTTCTTTAGTAAAAAACACCACAAGGATCGAGGCCTATGCAGACGACACTTAAGGACTCTATACTGACGACTTATCGTCGGTAAAGCGTATACCGACGACATGTTGTCTGTAAAAAGTCGTCGGCATAGCTCCGTCGGTAAAAATCGAAAATGTCGTCGGGACAGGAGTCGTCCGTATAGAACAACTAATCTAGACGATATTTCGTCGGCAAAGGATCGTCAGAATTGGTTTTCGAGGAAATAAGAAAAAAATTTATTCAGACCCTATACCGATGACTTGTCGTCTGGACAATGGTGAACTTATACCGACAACTTGTCAGCGGGAAAAGTATGAGCAATACAGACGCATTGTCATCGGGAAAAATTGATGTAGCTAACTGACATGTTGTCGGGAAAAAAGTATGAACAATACAGACGCCTTGTCGTCGAATCACCCCATTTTACCTCATTAAAAAAAGAAATAGTTTCACGCGGATCCGTCCCACTTTTTTCCGATAACAAGTCGTCGGTATAGGTGAACGAAAACGACATCGTTTTACTTTTCTACGACACGGATTAAAAATAATTCGAAATTATTTTTTTAACACCCTATACCGCGACAAGTCGTCGGCATAGGTGGACCAAAACGATGACGTCTTTATTTTCTGCAACAAGGAATATAAATAAATCGAAAATATTTTTTTTTAATATCTTATAAAGACGACATGTCGTCTGCATAGATATTGTACATATCACCCGTTTTTTGCCCCTTCCCGCCCAGTCTATACCGACGACTTGTCGACGGGATAGCCTTTCTGGTAAAGAGATATGGTCAAAGTTGGAACATGTTTTACCGACGATACATGTTGTCTGGATAAGTATTGTCTCCATAGGGCTTAATCCTTGTAGTGAAATTGGAATATTTATATGTCAATGGTATCTGAACCGAATCAAACTGAACTGAATATCAAAACTAACCGAATATTATATAAATAATTAAATTATTTAGTATATATGTATATAAGATAAAATAATTATACTTTACTGGTAGATGCATGAGTTGGAATGTAATAGTTAGGCCCTACTCCTAGTGGTGTTAAGGAACAACTACCCAATCTATACTAATAAATAAAACCTATTTTCTGTCACATGTCATGTCCTCACTAATTTGGACACATGGCATTTTAATAGATTTTTAGAATTTATTTATTTCCAAATAGAATTTTCTGATTTGTTCACATATCATAACTTATTTCGGTTACAATTGAGAGAAATAAATGCTTCCTTGAAAAAGAAATGATATATTTATAATGTAATAAATGACATAATTAATGAGAGCTCTAAAATTGATATTAATATTAAATTTAATGTTTAAATATTGATATTAAATTTTTATTTTTAATAAACTCGTGTAGTACACGGGTCTTACACCTAGTGAATGATAATAATGACAAATATAATGTGTTTAACAATAGCGTTAGAATGACTAGTTATCGTAGTTGTATTGCCTTAACACGACTCAAACAACTATGAGTGCTCCTTGGATGATGAGACGTATGTACTATACTGTTGAGTATCAGCTCCATTTTGGTAGGAGAAATGTAAAAAAACTTATATGTTAGCTCAGATCTGATGAGTCATTTGTAGAATCGTATGAAAAATATATCGCGTTATTCATAATTTTTTTTTTATTTCAGTTGATTTGATGTGTCATGAGTGTTAGGAAATTATTAGTTTTAGAATAGTCTTTGTTATGTTTAGCATGCCCGATGTATAAGGGATTAGCTTTGGATTTTATCCTAGCCACGTGTTTAGCCGGTTTACAACGTCTATACACCTTAGACCTTTTCTTTATTTGTTTGGCTTTATATAACCCCTTTTGCATATGAATAAATGTTAACACGTTTTCGCGGGCGTATTAAGCAAATAAATTTATCGCTGTTGGTTGCATTAAAAATATAACACATGGAAGCAGAGTTGAATCCTCATTGCCACAATCTAACGGTAAATGTTTTTTTTTACATCAAACACATTCTAGTCAAAACAAAAATTATTAAAAATGGGGTTTTTGAGTTAAACTAAAAACTAAAACTCCAGTGATATTAAATTAAACAAAAATCAATAATAAAAACGATTTCAGCTCTGCTGCAACTTTCCTAATAATGCAATTAGTTCAGATCTAGTTATTTGAGATGCGTTCTATCTAAGCTAGTACTAAGAAAAACTAACAAACTTTAGTATAATCTCTTTTACCAAATTAGTTAATCAAAACAAACTCTTTGAATTAACCCTAACTTTTTACTGTTCAATTAAACAAGCTCTTAATTAAATCAGAAAAACGGCTTAATGATCTGTGTAAATTTCTCGACAATACACAATATCTCTCACAAGCTCGGAAGCTTAAAGACATGATTTTTACAATTTATATTAGAGTTAAATCCCAAACACGGAACCAATCTGATACTTGTTACTTTTATCATTTAACAAGAACAATTACGGATTCTATTAACCTATTAACTGGAATGATAAAAACCCCAAGTAGGTGATCATACTAACAAAACTTAAAAATCAAACATTCATTAAGTTCAAAACAGAAAAATCTAGATAGAAACACAAAAAGAAAACCAAATCTGAAAACTAATCACGTGAAAAGCTTTAGTCTATGCAGAACTGAAAACTAAAGTTTGGCCAAACATTGCTAGAAATAAACTAAAACAAGATAAAAGAAACATTAACTGAATAATCTAGATAAACTAAATGTGTGAGATAATTCACGACGTCGGATCTTCAAAAATCGTTGAAAGGTATCAAAAATCGTCTTCAAAAGGGTATTTTGTCATCTGGAATCGTCTAACCCCAGAATATGATAATGATGGTTGTGACATCCCCAAAATCACGGCCAGAAAAGACCGGTTTTGTTTATACTTTATTTCAAAATCAGAGTTATCTTTTAATAAAAGGGTTGCGGAATTTGTCCTAAAACAATAATATGATAAAGATTTATCAAAAGCATTTCCATAGAAATGTATTTCATTAAAAGACTCGGGATGTCATGTTCGTACAGATCAAAAGTATAAACAGTACAATATAAGCCTTACTACATTATTTCATATCTACAGGCCTATATCTGTAATCCCTCGTCCAAAACATCACACCTATGCTCATGCGCCACTACCTGTAATGCATAAAACTGAGTGGGTCAGGCTTGGGAGCCTGGTGAGCACATAGGGTTTTCAACCCACAATAAATAAGTTTATTAATTTCATCAATCAACAATAACCCGATTACCCGTTCCCGTTATCCTCACTTTACGTCCCTAAACACCTATCATAAGGGACCTAGCCTAAGGATCATCATCGGGACGAACACTACTGCTAAGGGGATTCCTCAGCAATAAATGTCCTAATAGGCAACCATGTGGGGGATGGAGTACACCGGTGAACACATCGTTCACAACACCTACAGGTTGCGAGCCTGCTAGTGTTCCACTGGACTGTCTAGAAGAGTCCGTGGTCGTCATCTATACTCCGCTAGATGACTGGATCAACAACAACAACATCGAGGCCTCTCATCATTTTATCACACATCACCTATTACATCTACCCATGTTTTACCCCAACATTTTCGTAGATATAAAATACATATACAGTTTAAATCATTGAAAACATGTATAACAACGTTCATCTAACATAGATAGCAAGTATTCAGATAATATGCACACATAGCACGTAATTTATATAAAATACTTCATATCTATGTGTAAGCTGAAAGTAACTATGCACTCACCGG